TACTGGGGGAGGGGAGAGAAGGGGAAAACGATGGCTATTTTTTTGGCTGGGTTTGGCTGGTCTAGGAATAACAGCAAGTTTCTAGTTGGCTGGTTTTAGCTGGATCAGGAGTGAAAGGGTTAACAACCCCTGAAACATATTGATGGTGAAAAGAACCTGAGACAGAACCACTAGACTCTCGGAGAACTCTTAGAGGAGCCCTCTCTTACATCATGTAGAAAAGAGAAATCACTCAGAAATATTAGTCAGGCCTAAGCCATGTACCTTTTTTTTTTTTTTAACTGGAATGTAAAGCTTTCTCCTAAGTAGATCTATGGGATTTATGGCCATAAAAAATAAACGAAGGAGATGAAGGGCAGCTTGTAGTGCTATGAACTGGTAATAGAGAGACGTTAATTGTAGCAGTAACAAGGAAGAATATTGCCCCGATGAAGAGAGCACGTTTTGGAGTGGCCATGCTAATTAATGCTAATGCTAATCCAAAAAACCAGTGCCACATAGTGAATTTTGCGGAACGTTTTTGGCTCCAAATAATCTAATTGTTTTTCCACAGGCGTTTTGAGTGATTCTGTCACATTCGTTACACACTCACAGATGAAATTGCTCAATCGTTTCTTTATCAGAAACTCATCGTTGCTGTCACCATGTTTGTGCACGCGTTCATGATGCAAGAACACATTAGCATCTGTCTATCCCATCCTTGGGAAGAATAATTTATGTACAGTAACAACGATTTGATTGGTCAATGCCTTAGTAACAACAGGCAAATATTTAATAAGCATATATTCTTTACTGGGGGAGGGGAGAGAAGGGGAAAACGATGGCTATTTTTTTGGCTGGGTTTGGCTGGTCTAGGAATAACAGCAAGTTTCTAGTTGGCTGGTTTTAGCTGGACCAGGAGTGAAAGGGTTAACAACTCCTGAAACATATTGATGGTGAAAAGAACCTGAGACAGAACCACTAGACTCTCGGAGAACTCTTAGAGGAGCCCTCTCTTACATCATGTAGAAAAGAGAAATCACTCAGAAATATTAGTCAGGCCTAAGCCATGTACCTTTTTTTTTTTTTTTTTAACTGGAATGTAAAGCTTTTTCCTAAGTAGATCTATAGGATTTATGGCCATAAAAAATAAACGAAGGAGATGAAGGGCAGCTTGTAGTGCTATGAACTGGTAATAGAGAGACGTTAATTGTAGCAGTAACAAGGAGGAATATTGCCCCGATGAAGAGGGCACGTTTTGGAGTGGCCATGCTTATTAATGCTAATGCCAATCCAAAAAACCAGTGCCACATAGTGAATTTTGCGGAACGTTTTTGGCTCCAAATAATCTAATTGTTTTTCCACAGGCATTTTGAGTGATTCTGTCACATTCGTTAGACACTCACAGATGAAATTGCTCAATCGTTTCTTTATCAGAAACTCATCGTTGCTGTCACCATGTTTGTGCACGCGTTCATGATGCAAGAACACATTAGCATCTGTCTATCCCATCCTTGGGAAGAATACCTTATGTACAGTAACAACGATTTGATTGGTCAATGCCTTAGTAACAACAGGCAAATATTTAATAAGCATATATTCTTTACTGGGGGAGGGGAGAGAAGGGGAAAACGATGGCTATTTTTTTGGCTGGGTTTGGCTGGTCTAGGAATAACAGCAAGTTTCTAGTTGGCTGGTTTTAGCTGGACCAGGAGTGAAAGGGTTAATAACCCCTGAAACATATTGATGGTGAAAAGAACCTGAGACAGAACCACTAGACTCTCGGAGAACTCTTAGAGGAGCCCTCTCTTACATCATGTAGAAAAGAGAAATCACTCGGAAATATTAGTCAGGCCTAAGCCATGTACCTTTTTTTTTTTTTTTTTTTTTTGGAATGTAAAGCTTTTTCCTAAGTAGATCTATAGGATTTATGGCCATAAAAAATAAACGAAGGAGATGAAGGGCAGCTTGTAGTGCTATGAACTGGTAATAGAGAGACGTTAATTGTAGCAGTAACAAGGAAGAATATTGCCCCGATGAAGAGAGCACGTTTTGGAGTGGCCATGCTAATTAATGCTAATGCTAATCCAAAAAACCAGTGCCACATAGTGAATTTTGCGGAACGTTTTTGGCTCCAAATAATCTAATTGTTTTTCCACAGGCGTTTTGAGTGATTCTGTCACATTCGTTACACACTCACAGATGAAATTGCTCAATCGTTTCTTTATCAGAAACTCATCGTTGCTGTCACCATGTTTGTGCACGCGTTCATGATGCAAGAACACATTAGCATCTGTCTATCCCATCCTTGGGAAGAATAATTTATGTACAGTAACAACGATTTGATTGGTCAATGCCTTAGTAACAACAGGCAAATATTTAATAAGCATATATTCTTTACTGGGGGAGGTTAGAGAAGGGGAAAACGATGGCTATTTTTTTGGCTGGGTTTGGCTGGTCTAGGAATAACAGCAAGTTTCTAGTTGGCTGGTTTTAGCTGGACCAGTAGTGAAAGGGTTAACAACCCCTGAAACATATTGATGGTGAAAAGAACCTGAGACAGAACCACTAGACTCCAGGAGAACTCTTAGAGGAGCCCTCTCTTACATCATGTAGAAAAGAGAAATCACTCAGAAATATTAGTCAGGCCTAAGCCATGTACCTTTTTTTTTTTTTTTTAACTGGAATGTAAAGCTTTTTCCTAAGTAGATCTATAGGATTTATGGCCATAAAAAATAAACGAAGGAGATGGGGATAATAAAGCCAGCATGACTAACAGTTTTGTGGGAGTTTTGGGTAACAGAACTGTGTGAATGAGCAGTGAAGTCACACAGGGAATTGAAGGAATAATAATAACAATAATAATACAATTAAAAATTGAACTGTAACCAGGATATGACATAGTGAAAAAGGTAAAAAAACGTTCTCTGGTTAAAAAGGTTTTAAAATATGAGCTTTTGGCTATTATACTATAGCCTTTAACAAATGTAAAAAATATAAGCGCGTGAATGGAAATATATACAGGGGAGGGCGTGAAAAAAATTAAAAACTAAAAAATACAATAGAAATGTGAAAAGCTAAAAAATGGACAATAGAACAAAATCAAATTACAATAAGATAGAATATTGTCTTGGTATGCCAAGATTCTAGTGTTTTTTGAACGCGGTAATTGCCTTTGTCTATCACGGTAGCGCCCTCAAAGTCAATCACGTGATTGTTTTCCCACACATGGTTGGCAATGTTCGAGCCACTCGTATAGTTTTTAAGATTTCGTTGATGTTCCTTTCTTCGGGTTTTAAAGCATCTGCCAGTTTCTCCTACATAACTCCAACAGCAGTCAGAGCACGGAATTTTGTAGACAACATTGCATTGTAGATCTAAGGGCTGCCTGAACTTAGGTGACGGAAATTCTTGTTGCAGGGTTTTAGCTGGTTTGCTAACCACACGAATGTCATTTTTACGAAGTAATCTGGTAAGGGGCTCAGTCAGGCCGCTGATGTAGGGAAGACAAGCGAAACCCAGAGATGTGTCTGATGGATCGGCCCATTTGAAGAACATGGACACTAACTCTTCTGGTGGAGGAGTTGTCGGAGCTGACTTCTTCTTTAAAATGTTGGAAATAACTGTTGATGGGTAGCCATTAGCTTTTAAGGCTTTGGTAACGTGGCTAGTCTCGCGTCTTTTACCTTCAATGGTGCTCGGAAGGTTGGCTGCACGGAATAGGCGGGTCGAGGCCGCACAGACTTTATGTTTCAATTCATGATGTGAAGAAAAATCCAGATATCTATCTGTGTGTGTCGGCTTCCTGTAAATAATAATACACCTATGTAGTGTCTTTTCCTAATGGTCCAAAAGCGCTTCACAGAAGGGAAATTATAATTAAAAGTTACAAATTACCTAGGCCTATAAAAACAAACTATTATTTATAAAAAGTACAACCATAGTGAAGATTCAATGTTCCATGTAAGCTGGTAAAAATAGATGTTCTTTAAGTTTCCGTGTCAAAGTTTCTACTGACTGGAAGTCCACAACCCAGCTGAGGCCAAGGCAAACAAGCAAACACCATAAGACTTAGGATTGTACACAGGTATCTTCAAAAGGTTTTTTGGAAGATGAGCAAAGTGATCTTGAAGGTGTATAGGGTAAAACAAGTTCAATGTATCAGATTTGAACACTATTCTCACCGTGCAGTGTAGCACCCGTTGAAGCCTTTGCAATATTATTTGGGAACACCTTACAGCAAGGAGTTAAAATAATCAACCTTTGAAGAAAAAAGGCATTTGTTAGGGTTTTGTAGTTTGGTGTTGGGAAACCCCTAATCTTGGAAATGTCATGCAGGTGAAAAAAAGCAGATTTACAGACTGCTCTTATGTAGGGAACCACAAACAGAGAATTATTCAGAGTGACAACATTGTCTGTTGCTGTGGAGGAAGAATTAACCACCTCATAAACAAAGGTCAGATTGCCAATGTCTGGTCTTAGATGATAAACTAAGAATAAGCTACCACTCAGCTACATAAATCTTCTGTGACTAACTAAAAATCTCCAGCTACCCAAGCTATAGACTAGGTTTTCTGAAGTTTCAAGACTTCAGGGAGTCATCCTTTCAAAACCCCCACACCCACCTTCCACTGGCCTGACTCCAACCCCCCCCCTATTCCTATCCCTATTCTCTTCCCAAACAAGGCACAAGGCTGTAAATCAAGTCCTTGCTAGCTTAGAAACAGGGTGTTTTTCCTTTTTTTCCTTTTATATCATTGAATATTATTTATTTCCAATAATAGCCCTGCATTGAGTATGATCTCCTCTTGCCCCCTCCCCAGAAAATTTTGTCAGATGTATTTGTTTTTGTTTCTGATCAAAACAAGCTCATTTCTAGATAAGTTAAACACAAACTTGATTTCATTTGTGTTCAATAGATCGTTTTCACTCACGTGACCAATTCCTTGACTGCCGTTGCTACGCTGCCATATTGATGTACCTCAATTGTAAACAAACTAGTAGCGTCCTTCGCGTGGAACATGGTTTTGTGTCTGATCGTTGGCTGTGGCAGCAAAAGTGGACGAGATAAAGGGTTGTACTTTGCAAGGGTGCCTTCTGTGGTCACAAATCAAGGCGAAGAGGCACAGAAACTATCTGAAGAAAGAAGATCGCGCTGGATTTCAGCGATAAGCCGTGATGATCTGACCGAAGAGATCTTAGAAAACGATCGTGTGTGCGTAAAGCATTTTGTTTCAGGAAGGGCAGCTAAGAGCTGGGATAAATTTAATATTGACTGGGTTCCGACATTGCTTTTGGGACACAAGAAAGCAACTGATCGAGCAGATCATAAAGAAGCGGCGGCAAAACGAAGCGAGAGAGCGAGGGAACATGAACTGGTGAAGAAGCCGGCTTTTGAAAAGAGATCAAGAGTTAGAACTAGAGCGAATGGCGAAGAGAAACTTAATGAGCCCGGTGAACAGGTTTCAAACCTCAGCTTTAAAGGAAATGAGGACGAAGAGAAAAAATTGACAGTTGAAGCTGGCACACAAACTGAAGAGTTTGAATATTTATTCAGCTCTCTAAACATTGACCGGAAACCATTTGATTGGTGGGAATTTGTACAAAACGAAGAAAAAGCTAAATTCTACACTGGATTGCCTTCCTTCGATATCCTGCAAAATGTTTTCGAACATGTTTCTCCGTTTGTTGCTTACAAGTCCCAGAATCTGACCACATTTCAAGAGTTTGTCATGACTTTGATAAAACTTAAACTTGACGCACCACATCAAGATCTTTCATATCGCTTCAATGTCTCCCTTTCAACAGTTTCAAGGAATTTTTTCATCCTGGATGGTAGCGCTAGATGTACGCCTGGCTCCACTTATCAACTGGCCTGAACGTGAGGATTTATGGCGAACTATGCCAGTGTTTTAAATATTCATTTGGAAACAAAACTACCGTGATTATTGATTGTTTCGAAGTATTTATTAATAGACCATCAAACCTGCTTGCAAGAGCACAGACATGGTTATCGTACAAACACCATAACACTGTTAAGGTGCTGACTGGGATAACTCCACAAGGTACAATCTCCTATGTTTCCCAAGCTTGGGGAGGACGAACATCAGACAAATATTTAACTGAGAACTGTGGAATTTTAAATAAGTTGTTGCCCGGGGATCTGGTCTTGGCTGACCGTGGTTTCACCATCGCAGAGAGTGTTATGTTTCAGCAAGCACAACTGGCCATCCCTGCTTCCACAAAGGGAAAAGACCAGTTTTACCCTGTGGATGTTGAAAAAACTAGGGGGATCGCAAATGTTCTCATTCATGTCGAAAGGGTTATTGGCCTCCTTCGCCGAAAGTACTCGATATTGTCTGGAATTCTGCTAATTGATTTCTTAATTTCCAACCCTGGTGGCTCTCAGGAAGAAGCAACACCAGTGATTGACAGGATTATTAATGTATCTGCAGCTCTTGTTAATTTGTGCCCAGGCATTGTACCACTTGACTGAAATGGCAGCGAAAAGTTAAGGGGGCCCTCTGGTTGAAATCCAACAGTAAAGAAGGTCATAACTAGAACAGTCACAGAATCATAATCATTAATAGTAAACTGCTGAAAATTGGCAGGAGGCAAGTACATGACCCTACCTACCAGCCAACAAGTAAAGTTGACCAGGTTTGTTTATTCCTAGTAAATAATAAACAAAAACAAAAACTCTATCATTTTAAACTATTCTTCTGCCCCCTCAAATTCAAAGCTCAAAATACATCCAATTGGGCTGGTTTTAAGCATCATGGATCTACTTACAAAGCACTACGAACCTATTGAGCAAAATCGGGTTTCAATCATTAATGTTGCCATGGCAACGAATTCATTCCAAGAAAAGATTAACTCCTCAAAACTTCAACACTTTTCAGTCAAACTGAATTTTGCTCAATAGGTTTGTAGTATGTTATGTCTCAAATATTTGTGGCAAATTCGGAGCTGTTAGCACAAATACATCCTGAGAAATTTAAGGGGCACCCAAATAATCATGAAAAACCCATATTTGCAGGAAATGTGATTTAAAAAGGAAATGTTATGGAAACATGGGTTCAAGTTAGCTTTTACAATAAAAACACAGTGTGTTGGTAGAACTGCTTTAAAAGAAATATCCCTAAAGTTATTTTTTTTTGTCTTCTGAGTAGTTTTCCTCTTTTTGGGTCCATTACTAGGTTCTATTTCTCCAAAAGCTCCAGCTGCATAAGTTACACCCTCGCCACGAATCCTTAGATCTTCATTATGCTGTTTAGCCTGTCTCCTGGCAACTCTGTATTTCTTGTGCTGATCTTGCACTCTCTTCTCTGAGAGTAGTGAGCCTTGAGTAGTGCCTCTTCGTGCTCATACCAAGTTGAGAGCGAAATACTGAATGGCATATTAAGCATTTCACACAGCTTGGCAATTCCCTCTTTTCCAACTCCCATCTCAAATGTGCCATACACTATTCGTCGGTTCAGATCTTTACCTTGAATTGTCCTTGGAGTGGTATCATTGGAGGGGTGATCACCAGTAGCAAGGAACTCTGTCATGCCACAGTCACACTTGACAAAGACTGAATTGCTTATTCCCATTCTGTTTACAGTGCTCTCTAACACTTCAACTTTACCTAAATGAGAAATTAGAGGAAACGATCTATTAATTTTCTAGTTTAAATCCAGATAAATTAGTGGATCATGGACTTGGTTTCAAATTTTCCGGCATAATAAGTGACACTGTGCAAAAATTTCAACAGGCTCACCTGAGGCACATGGTCCATGTGTATGTACTCTGTTTACAAACTTCCTTAGACTTTCCATTGATACCAGGCGATATCCTTCAGCAATTTCCAGATCATCTGGAATACTTTCATCCCACAGAGACGTATCAATAGCACAAGCGCCGATTTTTCGCGCAGAAACCGGGATTGCAGGCGGTGGAATCATTTCGCTTACCACGTCATCTTCACCGACGAACGTGATATTTACCCTTCGTTCGCTCGTTGCGCTTGCCGCTCTTTTCGCTTGTTTTTGAACTCCTTTGAACCCTTTACGCTTTCTTGAAATTCCCTGCTTTAAAACAGACTGCTTTTTCCCTAGCTTCGGCATAATTTAACCCTTTATAAACTGAATCAATAAACTGTGAAATGCTACGCATAGATCAACAAAAGTGACTTGGACAAAGTTCGTTAGAGCTCCTTGTAACTCAGTAACCAGGCCTCAAAAGTAACTTCTAGGAATCTGGAATGAACTACGGTCTGTTTCCAAACTCAGGACCGTGGAACAGCGTTAACGCCTCAAAAATAATTCGGGAAAAAGGCTCTTGTTTTGAATTGGTTACCATGGCAACGGAAAAACAACGTTCAAAGAAGGCCACTTTTTGACTCTGCAAAGTAATTTATGTAAAAACAAGCAACATATTCAAAATCTAGATAGAGTCAAGTAAATATTTTTCAAAAAAAAAATTTGGGCGAAAAATTTTTCAATTTTACCAAATTTCAACCAGAGGGCCCCCTTAAAGGAGCCTAGTCAGCCCCCCCCTTCCCCCACTTCAATGCTCTCGACATAATGGACATCATATAGTGGAGGAAAATACTGAAAGTCTGTTTAACTGCCTTTAGTAGTTTCTCAGTAATCTCTCCCTGATTGGCTGACTGGGGTCCTTTAAAACATTATGATAAACTAGCAGTACATTCTTTGTGACATAGAGTGTGATCGCAGAGACAAAAGACTCTAGCTGTTCTTCATTTTCATGAACCACAGTTGTACAGTTGCAACCGAGTAATGAGCAATTTTATAATTACTAGTAATTAGGGTGATTGGAAACCTGTCATACGTATTGGTGTTTACATGGTGTTATGTAATTGAATGAGGCATCGCATGCGCTTGTCATTGTAATATATACGTAAAATCATATATGTAACTGAAACTTACAGTGACAACCATGGGCACCTAAAATGATTTCCCCATTATTCTGACAATTTTCTTCTGGCTCTCTTACATTTAACTCAAGTCAAAATGGGATTTATCAAATCTGCTTTACTCTTTCTTTCAACCTAGTTTGTAAGAGTTTTTTAAAACTTGAAAGCAATAAGTAGCTGTTAATAGAAAGTTTTTAAAAAGATGAGACAATGAAAGTTGTTGTAAACTTTGTCAGGTGGCCAGGGTTAAGACCTGCTCAAATGTAAACTAACCTTCTAAAGCCACATGTCAGTTACATATTAAAAATCATAACTTAGTACAGTTTTGTAGCTGATGACCAAGTGTACTTAGTAAGAAATTCAAGTGGTAGGGAACAACTGCATCATGCCAGCTCTCAGACATCTATGCAAGTGTTGGCGCATCCTAGGAATGTCAAAAATCACATTACATGGATTTTGTCCATAAACAAGACATGTTGCAAAGGCTATGGCAAACACTCCGCAGTCACTGACATTCATTTGCTGCTGTACTGGGATGTTAGAAATGCCCTGAAAGTTTGGACCAAGCAAAGCCTCTACCAGTTCCTTAAGTTCCTTTGAAATTACTGGCTTAGCAAGACTGTCCGTTAAATTTGCATGTCCAGGAGGGCAGGCAATTGAACTGACACACACCCAGTGATTGTTATTGATGTTCAAAATCTGAATAAAGTCCTCAGTCATTATATCAAACTGCTTGATAGGCCCGAGTGTTGGTCGTTGGAAGCCATGTATGCTGCTATTGACTTGCCGTAAGATGGTTTGAGCCTCATGTATTATTGTACCATCTAACCATCCTGTTGTTGACATGATAAGGTCATATTCTGCCTGCCCCAGTTTGGCATATTGCTTGTACTTTTCAATGGGGGTTTTACTTTTCACCTCTTTTACAAACTTCACTCCATCTTCAGTATTGGAACTCTTCTGTTTAACAGGTTTACAAGCTGGACAAACCCATGTTGTTTTACTTGTGTTTGGCATACGTTTAAGATTTATGCAAGCCAAATGAAAGAATCTGCCATTCTTACAACCTTCATTGTGACATTCTAAGAGCTTATCAGTTTCACTTGGCTTCTTTTTGCAAACACAAATAGAATCCAAGATAAGGGCATCTGAAGGTGCTACATGTTTCTTGCCAGCTTGAGTGGACTTCTTTGTGCATTTGAATTCAGGCAGTGTTCTGCAGTTGGGGCAGTACCATGTTTTAGGTATGCTGCAAATACCTAAGCATGACAAATGGAACTTCAAAATAGGACAATTAGCATTACAGCAGCTTACTGTGTCTTCAGCTGTCACAGTTCGGCAAAAGAAAACAGAATGGGCTTCCATTGGCTTAACATCACCAAAGTCATGTTTCCTAGTGTACCATCTCCCTAAAACTTCGGGTAATATGCAAGTCCTCCAAAACCTGGTCAGTTTAGGTAAAACGGCTTCCCAATGATCTTTATCAGGGAAATGCCTTTGTGTTACAGCTCTATGTCTGAAGAAACTGTTACCCTTCGCTTGTGCGACAGTATCTCTCTCAACTTGCAAGATTTGTTCTTTTGTAATCTCAATATCTACCTCTTGACAAGCTTTTAATAACTCAGGATAACTCAGAGCGAGGTACTTCTTATCAAACAGATCGCTAATTGTAGGTACGCAGCGACTTTTGAGGATATAGCTGTCTGCATATAGAGCGATGGGCTTGTTACTAGACTTACTAAGTTTAGCATAAAAGGTATCCATTTCTGGTTTTGAGGGAACAGGGATCTCCTTTGACACGTTTCCTTTAGCAGAGTTATCAGGGCTGGAAACATTGGAGAGGTTCTCAATCTTGGCATCTAAATCGTTTTTCATTTTCCTTGCGGATGTAAAGTTTATTTCTCGCACCTTTTCATATTCTACTTGTTTGACGTAGGTAGGTAAAAGCCACGAGCACTTCACTTGCGTGCAGGCAAGTCTGCCATTTATTTTTGTCCACGCTTCCAGATAAAATAGCACACTTGCTATATGCGAACAGGTTTCTGCCAGGCCAGCCTTGCAACCTAAGCAGTGTGCAAACAAAATTGTTCCTTCTCTTTCCGTGATAACCCAACATGAAATAAGAGAGTCATTCATATGCTGGGAATGTCTCACCTTTGCTAAAACAAGAAACTTGTCGGCAATTATGTGGCCTTGCACGCTTGCGATAAAACCAGAGACCATTTGGTTATATGCTTCAGGACTTCGGAAAGCTTTAAACTGTTCTTGAGTGTAGAAACTTGTCTCCAAGACAAGATACCACAAAATATCTGTGGATTCAACAGGAGGCAAACAGTCCGGCTTAAAGTCCTTCCCTTCGACTAAAACTGGATCAATTCCAATTGCCGCTATTTTCTGTAAATATCGATCTCTGACTGGAAAATCCAGCTGCTTCGCGTATTCGGATATCGGAAAAGAATAGTCGACCCTGCTTTTGTTCTGGGCCTCTTTTTCTTTCTCTTTTGAATCCATTTTACTTGTGGGAATGATAGTTGTGGAAAAATTACGGGGATTACGCAATCGAAAGTGGTACACCAATATGGCCGACCGGAAATGATGTGACGTCACGTGAAAACGATCTATTAGTCAAACACTAGCTTGAATCAGCTGGAGCTTGATTACCAATAATTTGAGCATGACATTGCGAGTTGGGTTGTGATTCAAGCTTGAGAAGGATTCTGAGCTTGGGTGACCTATATCAAGCTTGGTTCCCCAGTTACTGATTATTAGTTACTGATCCAAAGATGGGGGAGTGCTTGTTCATACTCCAGCAAACCAGTAAATAGTAGAATAGCATCCAAACAGTAAACAGTGAATGGCATCCAGCAAACGTGCCTTAATTGCCTATCAGCAAGGTTGGTTTGACGTTTGCTAAACAAAAGACAAAATCATTTGTGGTGAAGAGGAGTCCAAGAAGGAGAAAAGTAATATCAAAGAGAGATGTCGGACTAAGCTGCCAAGTGAGGAAATGCTGATATTTGATTTGGACTTTGCTTCTTTTGTCAATTGTGCTGCACTATGTCTTATTAAATAAGACTGAAGCTGTCAAAAATATCAAACCAAAAACTATTAGGCAGAATCACAAAGGGAAATGGGGTATCTTACAGTGAATTATAATACAAAATGAGTGTACTTTTTACGTCCAAGAATGAGCATCTTTAGTTACATGATTAATGAAATCTGGCCAAATAGCCCTTTTTACAGTTTCCGGTGCCATATTGGATTAGCAACCACAAACACAATAGCGAGGGGGGTGGTGGTGACCCAGAGACAGCTTCAAACAGACAACTCATTGAGATTTCACGCGCAAGTTAACTTTCTTCTGTATTTCTTTCTTCTGGCATACAAAAGCTTACGGCCAAAGATCTTTGAGAAATTTTAAGGTCTTATGAAGAATCTACTGGGGGAACAAAGGCAGATTTAGTTTTAAAGGTTCTTGCATTGCCGATGGGAAGCTTCATTCCATTGGCCAACAACAGGGAGAATGAAGCAGCACTTCCAGCAGAGGAACAGAATGACAGCAGTTTAAAATATGAACCAATTCTGAACCAAATCTTAAAGGTACCAACTACAAAAAACTCAAATTGTACCAGTTTTTTTTAGAATGCAAACATTTCGAGGACAAAATTTAGGTAAAAGAGAATGTTCTTCTTTTAATGAAGAGAACACCCTGCAAATTTTTTGTTTCTCTTTAATGAGTAGCACGGTCACCTATACATTTCCTGTAACATAAATCTTTTTTTGTCCTCATTAAATTAGTACATAGCTGTCTTTTTATCTCTATTACTGACCTCAATCTAAAAAAGTTACCATTTACATCATTTTGGCAATTTAAGCGATTTTTGTTTTACCCATAATACCTTGTGGGTGTGTCAGGTTTATGAATTTGTATAATAATTGCAAAAAAATGAGAGAATTTTTGTAAAATGAAAGTATGTTACAGACTATTATTATTAAGTTCAGAGAGAGGGAACTATCTCATTTTCTCATGATGGAAGCTTGTAGACAGTTTTTCTTCCTTTTTTCTTTGCTGGTAATTCACCACAAATGTGGCACACAGTGGCAGCATACACAACAACCAAACGCTTTACATCAAGGGTGAAAGTCGTGTCATGTATGTTGTCCTTGAGGTAGAAGTTGCCTTTAATTACTTGTTCTCCCCTTAGAGCAGTGAACTGATAGTCATCAGTGTATTTGTTGTCCAGTTCTTCAACTCCTTCTGATGTGACCTTTAAAAGTAGAAATTGTACATTCAGTCATCGTCAGCAGCGATGGCCACAGTTCTTACTTTATGTGAGTGTCATGGTCAGGGATGGATTCTTCAGCTGTTTGCCTAGTAGTTGTTACAGAGCCGTGTCTGCAGATAGAGACTTCTTTCCTGTTATCCAGCCAAGCCTTGTTTACACAGTTTCCCTCATCCTTAACAATAAAACTAACACAATAGCAGGATCGATTCCTCGCCATAAGCTTTTCTTGCTGGGCTAAAGACTTTACACAGTGCCACTTTCTAATCCCTTTAGCTTCCTTGAATTTCCTCCCATCCCTTTTTCTGTTAGCTGCACCTTCACCTTCCAAAGGGACATAAAAGAAGACATTTAATAATAATTTATAAATAGTGACAGTAAAGTCCATGGCCAGCTCAAATTTGAATCTTAAACTTTAAACTTTAATCAATTTACAGCAAATAAATATACGTACATACAAACATATAATTAATCGCTGATGGAAGACCTAGCAACGGGAATAAACTTCCCTAAAGATAAAGGCCACCAGAAACTATATATATGAAATAGAGGACAAAAGTAAAGTATACATAATTAAAGGCAATATCATAAAACGAGTATGGTAAAATGCTACATGTTAAAACTAAGTGCTAACTAAAATTAAGTAACAATCACTTTAAATCACTGCTATCAATAGCAAAACAGTAGCGTCTTAGGTCATTTTTGAACATTGATAGTGATTCCCTTCTCCTAATAGATATAGGTAAATTATTCCAAAGACGAGCAACTCTGGGAAAAAAAGAAGACCTAAATAATTTATAAGTTAAACGAGACTTACCTGTAAGTTGAAGTTTGACTGTAATTCTATGAGATACCAGTCACGAACTAGGGAGTCACGTGCCCTACCCCTTCACTTGGGACTATGTAGCACATTCATCTTATTACTTCCCACCATTATTGTTTGCAATCATTCGCCTTTAAAGACTGATCGCTCGGGCTACTCGCACATATCTCACGTGACTCCCTAGTTCGTGACTGGTATCTCATAGAATTACAGTCAAACTTCAACTTACAGGTAAGTCTCGTTTAACTTATAAATTCTATTTCAACACCAGTCCTACTCACTAGTGAGTCACGTGAGACTTTAATGTTTATGATATTGTTACCAAGTTGATAGGATGAATTTGTAGGCTTTTTCTTTTTGGAGATACTAAGATGTTTACATTTAGAACCATTAAAGGACATATCTCAGAGGTCACTCCAGTCTTCAATTGAATAGAGGTCTTTTTGAAGAGCGTCGTGATCATCTAAGCTTGGCAATTCTCTAAAGCATTTTGTATCGTCTGCATAAAAGGGCATATTTGTATCAGCATCAATGTTAACAGTAATATCATTAATAAAAATAGAGAAAAGAAGAGGACCGATAATTGAGCCCTGGGGGACGCCAGATGGAACATATCTCCAGTCAGAAGCATACCCCTCGATGACAGTTCTGACACCTGTTGGTCAAATAACTTCTAAACCAAGCAAGGAGTTGACCCCTTACACCAACCATCTCCAGCTTATAAAGCAATTTCTCATGAGGAACTTTATCGAATGCTTTAGCCATGTTGACGCATATGACATCTGTCTGTATGCCAGCATCGAGGGATTTTGCAGTAGAGTGCACAAATTGAAGAAGCTGTGTGACACATGATTGGTGCTGCCTAAATCTATGCCGATTAACGTTTAAAAAATCCGAGACATGATGATACAATCCTGTGTGGACATGTCTCTCAAGGACTTTAGATAGTATCGATAGTAAAGCAATTCCATGATAGTTGGAGACGATGTCTTTTT